CTTTCTACTACACTTATGTCTATTTTCATTTTAAAAAGAGAAAGGGCTGAGTGACCCTCATTTCTTCAGTCTCGTTTTCGTAAATGTTGTCTTTGCAATGTTTGACCTATTTTCAACCACTACTTTGAGCACCGCCACCCCAGCCACCACATCCACCAGATGGCACAGAGACACTGTCCGTGTGCCCAGGAAAGGAGAGGGAGTGGAAAGCGGCACATTTTATCTTGTACCAACAGCCACTGAATGGCTTGAATAGATCAAGGCAGCTGGGTGCAACCATTAGGATCAAAATTTATGAGTATTAGAATACCCAAGGCTCTTAGTTGGAAATCCTCATGAAGAAACCCATAACCCCTCTGAAGCGGTACCCTGCCCCAGACAGTGTTAAAAAAAATAATTTAAAATGTACATCAGAGAGGTTCGGTTCCTGCTAGGGGCACGTACCCCCCCCCCCCAAAAAAAGATGCCAACGACTACAGACAGATCTAGAATTTTAAAGATGTGTTCTTAAAATAAATTTAAAACTTTAGGACACAAACTCAAAGACCAAAGACCCATGAATTAGAGTTTCAAAGCAGTTCTTTCTATTCCTTAGCAAATAAAACAGGGGATCACTGTATTCCATAATACTGTACTAAGTAGCTCATTCAAAATTGTGATGTTATCTATATTATTTCAACATATTCCATTTGAGAGCTCTTACTGAAGTTACATTTAAATCATATTATGAAGAGCAAGAAATCTTAAAGTCAGACATCAATATCAACAAAATCTTTTGTATTAAAATTATATCCATTAAAAAATTTTGCAAACCTCCACTGGGTCTACCTGGCACACAGTAAGTGCTCAGTTAACAGTCTCCTCATTCTGCTGTCAGAGAAATGCCAAGAGAGTTGCCAAACTGCAACACGAGTGAGAAAAGTGCCAAAAACAAAGCCACCACCCACCCCCATCTCTAACTTCAGAATCAAGATCCAAAAAGTTCATTTGAAAATTGGGTGCCTGAAACTTGGTAGGAAAATATAACTCTATTACATGATAGGTTCTTGGACACATTCACCCAATAGATTTAATATACTTAAATATATACTTAAAGCACAATACACATACTACCTTACCTGCTCCTAAATAATAACAGTTTTCTTAAAAAAAAAAAATAGACATCAGACAAGCCTTCCCTCTGACTTCCACCCCAGAGTTTGTTTCTAATTGCATACACATACGTGAGGCACAGAGAACATCTCAGTCCGTCACTCTCTGGCATTCTGACTTGGAGAACAATGAAGAAGTAAGGCTCAGATTCCCCAGACCTCTGTTTTGTGCTAAAGAGTTCATATATAAGGCAAGAACCACAGGTATCTCACTCCAGAGTCTGTTTTCAGTATATTGCTCTTAATCTGAAGGATCAACAGTCTCAATTATTTCTGCACTGTTGTGGCTGATGCTGTTTTCCTTGTTAAGTAACTTATACCTAAATTTATAATCATGAGCAACACACATTTTTAAAAGTGACACACATTTTTCATAATTACAATCTATGATGTTGCCATAGTTATATATCCCATGGGGGGCCACCAAGTTTTTTTTAGGGTTGTCTATTCCATCAAAGTTACATATATAGCTCTTACTTTAGTCAAATCTACAATTTGTAAATCCATTTTAAACTTCATGTAAGTTATTTTACTTATCTTTAAGAGAGAAAAAAACCTTCAACTGCTACATAATGCTATTCTTTTAAAAAGCAAAATGGCCCTGGCAGGTTTGACTCAGCGCTTAGAGCTTCAGCCCGCAGACCAAAGAGTCTCGGGTTCAATTCAGGTCAAGGGCATGTACCTCAGTTGCAATTTGGTTCCCTATCCTGGTTGGGGTTGTGTGAGGGGCAACCAGTCAATGTGTCTCTCTCACATCGATGTCTCTCTCTTTGTCTCTCTGTCTCTCTCTCTTCTCCCTCCCTCCCTCCCTCTCCCCCACTCTATCTGAAGATAAATGGAAAAAAATAATCCTCCTGTGAGAATTAAAAAATAAAAATAAATAAGTAAAAAGCAAAATGTACCTATAATCAATTTTAGAATCTTAATCTTAATTAAAATGATGATCTGAAAAGCTTCAAAATCTCTAAATTCTGTCATTATTATTTAAAGCAAAGAAATTCTTCAGGGTAATCCACAGATCCTAGTTAAAAGCAAAAGAAAATTTTAATAATCTCCTTGAAAGTCGATACCTTTTCCAGTCTTCTCCTTAGACCAATTAAACATTTAGAAACCCATTTAACATTTGCTCCATACATAAATTTTGAACTATGGTTCAAATAATGTTTTGGCTATTCCCTAGTATTACCCATTTTACAGTGTAGGGTATGTCACATTTCTAATCAGAGCCTAACATGCGAAAGATCTGGCACCCTGGTTTTACTAGAGTTAACTTTTAAGAAACTGCATAAAGTTGTAATGTGTATTAAATGCACACTTTCCAAGAGCACAGAACTTCTATTCGTGCTACCAGTAAAAAGAAAGGATTTTTTTGTTTGTTTTTAATCCTCATCCAAGGACATTTTCGCATTTTTCTTCAGATAGAGCGGGAGTGAAAGAGGGAGGAAGAGAGAGAGAAACATCGATGTGAGAGAGACACATCTGAGTGGTTGCACCCATGGGACCCCAACCGGGGCCAAACTGCAATCGAGGTACATGCCCTTAGCGGGAACTGAACCCGGGACTCTGGTCTGCGGGCCGACGCTCTAACCGCTGAGCCAGACCGGCGAGGGCAAAGGAAAGGTTTTTACGTTACTCAAGAATTCCACAAAATTCAATGTGTGTATATATTTTTTACTGTTCTGATGGCATGCATGGAGCCTCCAAGCTCTTCTTTCCCACTCTTTTGAGCAGATAAACAGTCCCTTCTTCCCCTTTTTCCATTAGCAACCAAATCTAAACTTACTATCTTTCTTTTTTAGAGGCAAACTGGAACACCTCATTTCAAATAAACTCAAAATATTTCTCCCACAGTTCTCATTCAAAGATCTTCTGGAACAAGTCTCATGTTTCTCATTGAAGATAAAATGATCTATCGCTGCATACAAATGATGTTTCACATTGCAACTTCATTTTGAGCCTTAGTACCTATTGTGCAATTACAAACTGTTGCAACCTCAGTTTCCTTACATATTTTATCATGGCTTAGTTTTCCCCCTAATGATTTAATTACCGTTTTTATGCACTAAAATTAACTTTCTCACGTTTCCATTAACTACACACACATTTTTAAGATAAAAAGCCTCTTCAAAAGGTATGTTACTCAGAATATGTTACCCTATACTGATTCTCAAATCCTGAATATAAAAGAATACATTTAAATGACTAAGTTTTATTTATTCACTGATTAAGTCAGATTTATGACCTCCCCTCCCCATTTCAGCTACTGTGAATTTTGAATGAAACAGCCTCAATTGTAACAGAAGAAACATCTGTTGCTTTTTTTTCATCACCAAGGCTTCCTAACTGAAAGAAAGGCTCTCTGCCTGACCTCCTCTCCCTCCCTCACTCCCCCTCCCCACCCACACTAAGTTGCTTAAAACTTTTTTTCAAGTAAATGTATTATTTAACATTTTACTGTATCTCCTTAAAATGTCATAGTTTATTTGGAAACATTGATTTCCTTATTAAAGTTCAAAGAATGAATAAATATTATATACATCAAAGAACAACAATTGTAACTAAAACGCAGGCTTCAAGAGTATTCTTTAAGTGATCAACTCAGTCGAGTTGTCACACATTCTGGGCTCACTCAGTATATTGTTCAGGGCTAAGAATTTCTTCACAGTCTCCAGATTCATACAGGATCTTGCATGCTATATTTTCTTTGCCAATCCAACACTAACATAATGGCAGTCACTACCCCAAGAAGCAGACACCAAATGGTGCCACCCACTCTCACACTGTGCCTCATAATAAACCATAAAGCAGTGGAATGCACCGGCCCCTTTATGAGCAAACAATGCCCGAGCTTCATTAGAATACAGCTGACATTTTCAAAGCACAAATACTTTTTAAGAAAAATACTAGGGGGGAAAAAAAAGGAATGAACAGCTATAAAAACTGAAATAATTTTTAAAGTGTCAGGTTTATTCCAAGAATTCTGAGGAAGCCTATTTTGCTGTTGACAGTCGAAAAGTTTTCATAAATGGAAAAAATGTATAGTTGAAGGCAGAGCTTATTTTATTAACTCCTGGAAAGAAATGAAAGTAAAAACTATCATTTAAATTGCTTTCACAAGTAATAACCATGAAGTACCTTTAAAACTATGCATTTCCTCAACTGCTTCCTTAGTTCCTGAATGAAGAAAACTGAGCTCCAGAATTATTTCCACATTTTAATTGATTTATATAAGTAACTGAGTGATAAACTAAGCTTACTCTACCCCTCCCCCCGGTCCACCCCAACCCCCATACTCTAGTTTTCCTGTCTGCAACAAGCAAGGACGTCTTGAATTCAGCGTGCTCCTGGCTATTTATCAATGTAATATTGCTGCTGTTGAAAGAATATAAAATAAGCGCTGTAAAAACTCACCCAGCAATAAGAAACAAAATGATCTCTCTTACCTGGTCTAAAGAAGCATGCCTCTCACTGCAGTACCAACAACACTCTACAGTCTTTGTTACCATTCACTGGAAACTTGAGACTGTGTCAGACATAAGTAATCGAGCTCAGGAAGCTCAATTTAAAATACTTCTCAGTAAAACTAAAAAGATGCTCAAGAAAACTGGTGAGTTAACTGTCGTTCAGAAGACATACGAATACTATCTAATGCAACGACACCTCAAAAGAAACTGAAAGTGCAGATCTGAGAGACAAAAGGGACCTTTTTAATGTAAAACCTTGCTTCTTAAAAGGAAAGGTTGCTTAAAATATGCCTAAAATAAAAGTGGTGAAACAATAAAATGCCTAACTCCATTTTTCTAAAAAGCACTTGAATTTTAACTAGCTAAAAAATAAGGTTAAACTTACTCATGAAATCTGCATGGTTCGAATTGTACATGTCAGGGTAGTGCTGGCTCCCCAAGCAGTCACAAAGCAGGAGACCTTAATGCATCTTGAAAGCAGAGCAAACGCATCATGAGTTTCGGAGAGAAAAAAAAAAAAAAAAAAGGAGGAGAAACTCTTGAAAAACTGGTCGTGCCTTTCAACCTGTAATAACTGTCCAGCTCTTCGGGGAAGAAAAAAAAAAAGTCCCGGTCCTGCCCCCTGAGATAGGAGGCTATGCTTCAATGCCAAAATGAATGACAGGCCCATTTCTGATATCAACAAAGAGCAGCTTAGTTGTGCTCGATTTTTTCCCCTTTCCCACACAGTTAGGAGTTCTAAAATGTTCAGGTTAGTACCTTTATGTCTAGGGTTAAGTACCTGTCTCCATTTGCTCAAGAGGGAACCCAATTATGTTGCTCTAGTTTCTAATGATTAATTAAAAATACATACTTAACCATTTTACTCAGTTTTTCCCAGGCAGGCAGCTGAATAAAAGATCAACTCTTAAGATGCTTTCCAAATCTATTCTCTGCAATATCAGGTCACCATTTGACTAATTATTAGAATTAATACATTTTTCCAGCACCCTGATTTTTAGGTACAAGGAGAAACAACAAGTAGGTAACAAACAAAAAAATAAGGTAACTGAGATTATAAAATTTTCAAATAGCTAAATGTAAAAATTATTCACTAAAGTATGTGTCTATGATTATACAAATTCAAAACACTAAACTCTTCAATCAACAACATATCTTGATTGAACGCCTATTATGAGCCAAGCACTATTCTGGGGAGAGAGCAGTGAACACAACAGACAAAAGCCCAACCAAACTCCCTGTCTTCAGTGAGTTTATTAGTTTAGATCCTAGCTCCCTGTACAACTCTCCTAGATGACTGAGGTACCTCAGCTTATTTGATTAGTTACCACCTAATCTGAACTATGCCCTCTGACAGTATGCCTTGACCACAGCTCCAGGAGGGTTGTGCCTTCTTCAGTGTTGTATCCCCAGTGTCTAAAACAGTGCCCGTTAGACAAATAAACATAGCTTGAGTGAAATAGATCAAAGAGAGGCTTTTCTTTGCAAACATGTTTTTCTTTGCAAACAGACTATGTACCACATATTACACTTACGTGCCTATAGAGATATGTCATAAATGATACAGTAAGGGTGCAAATTAAATTGAGCTGCAAATATATATTCACTTAAAATTGGAAATACAACCTATATGGCCTTGTGTCTTTTCATATTCTAAAATCTGTTTTCACTATCAGATGTGAAATCACTATAATATTTGAGTAAAGGAATTGGTTAAAATTCTAAACACTACGTTTTTACGGACAATCAGAGTTCAGAGGAGTTTTGAATAAAAAAGGATGAAACTTGGCCCTGGTCGGTTTGGCTCAGTGGCTGGAGCGTTGGCCTGTGGACCAGACAGTTCCGGGTTCGGTTCCCGCTAGGGGCACATACCAAAAACAAAACAAACAAAAAAGGATGAAACTTGGAAATTACACAGCAGCCAATTAATTCTGTGTACTAAAATCTCATATGTTTACATCCATTTAGATAACCATGTTGAAAATAATGTTAAACTCTCCATCCTGCTTCTAATCATCTTGACTTCCTTCTAGAAGCCACACAGAGAAAATAAGCATGTACCTCCAAACTATCAGATCAGCCAGAAGTGCTCACCATGCTACCCAGGGCCAGGATATACAGGGGCTAGATCTAGTCACACCTACTCCGTTAGTCTTAAAACACAAAAAAATTAAACTTCTCAGTACTCAGGTATGCTCACCATACCTCTAAATAGCAGAACATGGCCACCCCACCCCAGCCCAACCCCATAGAGCTGAACAATGATTACAAGTTCAAATATAATGGTCACAAGACTACCTTTAGCAGATTAGAACAATAAGTATAATACCAATTTCTTAATAAGTAATGTATTACAAATTAAAACACATATTTTTATGTTTTTATTGATACTTTAGAGAGAGAGGGAAGAAAGAGAAACATCCATTGGCTGACTCCTGCACGCCCCCTACTGGGGATCGAGCCCACAACCCGTGCATGTGCCCTGACCAGGAATTGAACTGGGACTTCTCAGTCCATGGGACAATGCTCAATCCACTGAGCCACATTGGCCTGGCCAAATTAAAACACACTTAAAATAGTTTTAAATGCATTCTTCTTAAGTAATTCAGCATGTTTTTTGTTTTGTTTTAATCCTCACTTGAGGACATTTTTGCATTTATCTTCAGAAAGAGCGGGAGAGAGAGATGGAGGAAGAGAGAGAGAGAAACATCGATGTGAAAGACACTTCAAGTGGCTGCCACCCACATTACCCCAACCGGGGTTGGGGACAAAAAGCAACCAAGGTATGTGACCTTAGTGGGAACCGAACCCAGGACTCTCTGGTCCACAGGCCAAAGCTCTAACTGCTGAGCCAAACCGGCCAGGGCTCAGCATATGTTTTATATCATATTCACTTATGCTTAAGAATTAAAGCAAGACTATTACTCTGATGGCCCTGGCTGGTTTGGCTCAGCGGTTAGAGCGTTGGCCCACGGATCAGAGAGACTCGGGTGCTAAGGGCATGTACTTCGGTTGCAGTTTGTCCCCGGCCCCGGTTGGGGTTGTATGGGTGGCAGCTAGTCAATGTGTCTCTCTCACATCGATGTTTCTCTCTCTCTCTTCCTCCCTCTCTCCCTCCTGCTGTATCTGAAGATAAATGCAAAAATGCCCTTGGGTGAGGATAAAAAAAAAAAAAAAAGAATGTTACTCTGATGGATATTTGGGAAAGCTCTCATTCATGTAACATACAGGGATAATATTCAAGTTCAAGGGGAAAAAAATCTCACTCTTCTTATTTTTTTTTAATGTAGTATCTATATATAATCATTTACATGACAGATAAGGAAACCTAGGAAGTTTCCCATAGCTCAGATACATATTTTCAGTCCATCAGAAGCACCTGGCATCTAAATGAGCCCTACAGTTCCTATAAACAAAAACTTCCAATGGACTAAAGATAGTCAATAATTAATGCAATCATTCAAGGGATTATGGCTGTTCCTTACGGAGTGCAAGTTCAAATCTGTCAACACCAGAGGTAATCATTTTATATTAATTTATATGTAATTCCATTTAAATTCTTTATCTGAGTATAAGATGAGAGCAGCGTTCACAGAAGCAAAAAATGGAGAAACATTTTTAAAAATGAGTCATTTTTTATTTATTTATTTTTAAATCCTCACCTGAGGATATTTTTCCATGTATTTTCAGAATGAGTAGGAGAGGGAGAGAGAGAGAGAAACATCGATGTGAGAGAGACACATCAACTGGTTGCCTCCCACATGACCCCAACCAGGGCCAGGGACAACCTACAACTGAGGTACATGCCCTTGACCAGAACTGAACCCACGAATCTTTGGTCCGAGGGCCGACACTCTAACTAACCTCTGAGCCAAACCAGCCAGGGCAAAATATGAGTCATTTTTTAATGTAACCGATCAGATTCCATAGGCTACTCTTGGAAACAGGATCTTGCTGGATAGAATCCCTTTGTTTGGTGGTTTTTTGCATGCACTTAACTGGACCACTTCTTCTGTGTGTTCCAAGAGCTCACCAAAACAGATCATGCATATAAGTAAGTAGTAAAAAAAGGCTAGAAGATAAAAAGCTAATTTGCACCATCCTTCTTTCTGACAATATGCTAGAATATCTGCATTCATGATGGTTGTAGGGTCACAGAGTCCTGGTCCACTCACCACTAGTCTACTCATATACCTCTAAATATGATATGCCTACGAGGGGCATATTGAGATCCAGTGTAAGCCACTCTGCTGCACAAAGAAACATGACACAGTTTCTTCTGAGGTACTCTGCAAGTACAAAAGGATTCAGGATATTACACTGGTCTATAGGATTCTTGTAATCAACCTTCCGCTCATCCAGTGCTATAATGTGCCAAATGGCAAAGAAGATGAGCAATGAGCAGCAGCGCCGGCACGTAGCAGAAGGCCATGGATGTGAACCCTAGGCCGGGGAGGAGGAGCAGGGAGCAGCAATGATGCCAGCGAAGAAAGGCAGCACAGGGCCCTCTATCATTCATTCTTTCTTTCAACAAGTACTTAGCACCAGGCACTAAGCTAGACAGAACTGACCTGCTCCGTACTGTCTCCTCCAAAGATCTGATTTAAGCCTATCTCTAGCCTTCCATCTATTTCCTTCTCCCTGTTTGCTTGGCAGTGCCCTTTCTCCAGTCCCAGTTCTGCACTCACACTGCCCTTCAATCTACTCTCGAGCCTTTCTAGGCGGCAGCATAATCACTACGTTCCTATGTTCCTTTATACGTGTTCCCCACAAGAGAATGCTACACTGTGGGGAAATTCATGAGTCTTCCCACTGGCATAATAAAATGCATCTTATGTAGGTCCTCTGAAATAATTTCTCTTTAACCTTATGTAGAAAATCCACTTATGCCAAATATTATTTAGAACTATTGATTATCTAAAACACACCAAAGAGGGCTAGGCATTCTCTCCCCCAGATGTATATGCTAATTTATTTGGACGAGAATTTGCTATGTTTCTTGGCAACCTGACCAAATGTTAACTACATTTAACAAATACATTTATATTCTACAGGCAGAAATGACATTATGATAGCACAATAAGTTTTTATTTGCCCCATTTCTGCTAAATATAACTATCTACTAGATCCATATTATGAGGAAATGGAAATTAGCTATGCTGATTTCCTATATGTATTCACATTTTCAAGTAAAATGTCTAATCTTTTTTTTATCCTCACCTGAGGACATTTTTGCATTTATCTTCAAATAGAATGGGAGGGAGAGAGGGGGGAAGAGAGAGGAGAAACATCAATGTGAGAGAGACACATGGAGTGATCGACACCCACATGACCCCAACCAACCGGGGCTGGGGATGAACTGCAAGCAAGGTATGTGCCCTTAGCAGGAACCGAACCCGGGTCTCTCAGGTCCACAGGCCAACGCACTAACCGCTGAGACAAACCAGCCAGGACTAAAATGTCTAATCTTGTTTCCAGGGTTTTTTT